CTTTTCCCCCCCCCCCCATTAAATAGGTATTGGTATCTCCTCTGGTTTTGTTGGTGTGGCCTTTTTGTGGTTTTGATTCTTTTAAGCTTGTTCAGTGCCCGGGTTTGCAGACTGAAATGGATCCTTAATGGTGTAGTAATTGCATAGCAAAACAGTCATTTAAGGGAACAGCAACCTGTTCTCTGGTCTGTCCAACATTAGGGTTTTTGTTAGTTTTGTTGTTGTTGTTTTACTCTGCAGATCATTCTAGATGTTCCCAGAAAGTGTTTGGTTTGGGCTTTTTGTTAAACGCAATGTCAAAGTGTGTTTGGTAACAATCTTTCTCCCCTCCTAAGTCAGACTTTTTCATGGCTTACACAAATGTTTTGCTGCACTGATACATTACCCCCCCAGCTCCCCCAAACTGAGCTTTGTAACTGCTCTGTTTTCATCACATTTAAAACTCTTAAATGTGGCTACATATAGCTCTTGAGTTTAGACTCTTAAATTTTAGTCTTTAAATATGTTGGAAAGCATCAAAGACTCTGGTGCTGGTGGGTAGGAACATTTCTCTTGTAGCGGGGCCAAGTCTCAGCATTGATGAAACGGCAGCAGCAGCGCTTTTGTCCAGCACTCCATCCCCCTGACAAGAATGGGTAACAGCTGGCGCTGTACTTGGTAAGATAACCTGCATTTTCAGACATGACACCCTGTGCTCAAAGTGAAACTTACTGAGAGCAGCACATGGTTTATGGTAAGTGTGTGTGAGTGTGTTTTTTATGCCTAGCATGTAAGTTGTGTTTGATTTTATCATTTAGGTAAAAACAGATGACATAGCACGAATCTATCAGCCCAAGCGCTACGCGTTATCTCCCAAGTCAACTATTACGTTAGCCCACCTTCTTGCTGCTCGAGAGGATTTGTCAAAGATCATAAGAACAAGTAGTGGATCAACACGAGAGAATACAGTCTGTGCCATCAACAAGGTAAGCTTCTGTCTGGGACGTGATAAAAGGGCGTGAGAGTTTACAGGCATATCAGAAGTAATTCTGGAACTGTACTCTGCTTAATATTTTCACTTCTTTTTGCAAGATACCTGGTGCTTTAAGAAAGGAAGGTTTGTAGCATTCCGATAAATATTGCCAGCAACTTGTTTTTTCATCTTATTACACAGTGAGTTGTGCAATAGGATGAAGCAAGTAGTTGAGATTAGAAGGAACAGTGGGGGGTAGAGGGAGTGGGGTGTACACATGTGTGTGTGTAAAGGACCTCCTGAGTTCAGCGAACTGCACACCTCAATTTAAGGATACGTGCAAGTCTGTGGTATCAGTTCCTGGGCCACCTGTCTCCAGGATCATGTTGTTTAAGTTGTAAACCAGCATCTTCAGTTTATCAGTGTATTAGAAATCACAGACGTTTTGGTGGAAGTGTTGTTTTCTGCAAAGTAAAATTATTTCATTTGGCTACGGCAATAATTCACCTTTGTACTGCTTTCTTGTATATGATAGAAGCTGAAGCTTGCAAGCGATGACAGTTTCATCATTCAAATGGTGATTAAGCCTAGTTTTATTAATCCCTTATTTACAGATTTTTCTAAAGTTTTGTTGTGCCTTATTTAGATACCCTTTAATACGTTTTGATCCCAGAGATTCTGAAATTTCTTTATTACTATAGGATCTCAGAGAAGGGTGTATCTTGGACTGACCAGAGTATGTTGACATTTGTCACACAGACAGTTTAGTCAATGTGAAAGCAAAACCAAAAAGACCTATTTGGATACCTTGTTGCTCTTCAGCCTTACGTGTTGTGTAATTTTATGCAGTACTCTCCCTTTTTGTACTCTGAGTAATGTCCACCAAAGTCAAGATCCCTTTTTTCCTTTTTCTTGAAAGTGTTACTGCAGCATGTTATGTATTTAGTCTGTTCGAGCTCTCTACTCGGTGTCAGTAGCTTCTAATTGAAGGCAAAGTGGCACTGCTTTTAGAATCACACATAACTTGTCAGTTTGTGGGTTTTACCAGCTGATTAGGTGTGAACTGGAACTTTGAAATTTCAGTAGAAGAGGTGCATCATAATGAATCTTTTCTGTAAGAATATATAAATATATATGTGTCTATAGTACAAATATATTGATATAAGTATGTATTTATATATGCATCTATAATATGAATATATGTGTGAATAATGTATATTGCTTGTTGTAACAATGCTACTTCACAGGCATGTATTTTTCTTCATAAAGATTTCACAAAGGTAATACGAGCTCGCTAGCTACAGTTGCTTGAACTTTAGAGGTGGAAAATGGGACTGTGCTCAGAGTTGTGTTGTGTTGTGTTGGGGCAAGGTACAAGGACTGGAA